AAGCAGTTAGAAAACAAAAATCAAACTTTTTCTTCTTCTTTTCTTCGTTATGGTTTTTTTGGCAAAGAGTTTAAACTGGTGAGTTTAAGCAGCTAAAATAAGCACTTACATAATCGGGTCGGATAATCCAATTGCCGTCTTTGGGAGTGATATTTGCCGCATATTGTTACTGTTTTTAAGAACATCTTTTTAGTTTTTTTCTTTTTTTCAAATGTAATCTAACAGAAAATGGTAAGCCGAAAAAATTTTTCTTTTATTTATCTGTATATGCATATTTTTTTTTTTCTTTCTTCTTTTTCTATTTTTTTTTTATGGCTCTCATGTACTATTGCGGCAATACTTTAATTCCATTAAACAACGAAGAAAAATGAAAGAAATGAAAAAGAAATAATAATAATGATAATAATAATAATGATAATACCAGTAATAATAGACAGAAGAGGAAAGATAACTGAGCAAATTGAGTAAATGAATGAATGAACGAACAGAAGCAGTATTGTTTTCATCGACAACCAACTGAGAACAATGGGATACCGATTGGCGGTATGCGAAATATTCAAAAGTTTCACACAGCCTAAACCAAAAAATTTTCTTCAGATTTCTTAGCCTTTTAAATCGACTTACTTCAACCATATATAACTATTTTTTTTTTTGGTATTGTTGGTGCTATTTAAAGTTCCTTTTTCAGTCCTTTAAAGTTTTAGAGAAAGCTTTCTTTTCTCAGGTGAAAAAAAAATGAAATTTTCTTTTCTTTCTTTCTTTTTTTGTTTTGTTTTTCCTAGACAACTTTAGATTTATTGTCAAAAAATTACTGCTTTCCTCTGTTTTGTTTTTTTTTTTTTGGTTGCTTTTTAAAGTTGTTGTTTCAAAAAGAAACAAATATCAACAACAACAACGCTGTTGGATAACAACAATTCAAAAAAAGAGAATATAAAAATTGATAAAAATTAACAGCTTCTGTAGCTGCAATAATTTTTATCTGTTTTATGCAAAAAAAAAAAATAAAGTTTAACTAAAAATTTTGCAAATTAATTTTGCTTTAACACAAATTAGCAGTGGTTTTGGTAAACAGCGATATTATCGTTAAAAATATTAGAACCTTTTTTAATAACTAACAAAAAAAAAAAGAAGGTAGGAAAATACTGTCACAAATTATATGCCAAATAGCATTTTTTTGATTGCTGTTATATTCTAAATTTATTGTTCTTGCTATTTGTGTACAAAATTTTTTTGGTTGATACTTAGTTAGTCTACAGTAGTGGTAACTTGATATTATATTTGGTTGTCGATAGTGGTGGAGAGAGGGGAAAAAAAAAAGAAACTTTATGTTTTAAGAAAAAAAAAAAAAAACAAGTTGACGAAATGTATAGCAACAATTTGGACTATTGCTCTAAAAATGTTCAACAAGTATATAGTTGTCAGATTTTATGTATAGTTTGTTTTTTTTTCCTTTCTTTTTTTTTGTCTTCTGTTTTACTTTGATGATGATCAATTACCAATTGTAAATTATTTGCTCGTTTTTTTCTTCTCCTTTTTTATTGTTATTTTAAACATTAAAAGAATTCCGCAAACCAGAAACGACTAAGCTAAACAAATCTGTTTGTTGTCGGTGGTAGTATTGCTTTTGCTCAGCTAACAACTGCCTACAACACTGGTTCTGGTAGATGATGTTGGGCACTAGACAATTGGAATACCAAACGTAAACCTCTTCGTCTTCAATCGGTAGCATCCAAGAAAAAACTGTGCTTCATAAGGGCGATTATATTTATTTATGTTAGGCAATTTGTTTTTATACGTAAGCCGCAAAACATTTGAGCTTTTTTTCAAAAAAAGCAATAACTGCAGAAAAAAACAATGATATTACTGACTTTACAGTATATCTCTGTATTTGCAGGGCATCTTCTTTTGTATTCCAAACGTTTGCCGTATTTCTTCTCTTGACTAATTATTTAAAAAATTACTTTCATATTTTTTTTTCCAAACATTTTTTTTTCTTCAATCAAAATTGATAACTGTTAGACTAAAGGCACACAAAAAAAAGAACAATTATCATCAAAACTTATCGACTGCTTAAAATTAGAAAAAGAATAAGACGAAAAAAGTGGGTATCTTGCAGCATATTACAGGATTTATGATAAATGCCAAATCCTCTTAGAACACTTGAATCAGACAAATTTTTTTGAATGCCAACTGTTGTCTGATATGTCAGCAATGTTTGTAGATAACGACAGTAGATTACTGACTTTAATATCACCTGACAGATACAGTAGATACTGTTCTTAACTGCTTAAAACTTATCCACGATTACCTATGTACAGCGAGTTATCTCATAAATTACGGTATTCACCTAATTACTTTTCCACTTTTCTAACTACATTTAATATTAAGTGACATCAATTAGTCAGATCCTTATATCTCAAAAAAAAAAAAAAGTCAAAACTAATTTGTAAAAAACTGCACTAAAAGTTTAACTGCAAAAAAATAACCGCAGAACTATCCAACAAAAATTTAATGCAAAGTTTTTGATCGCTCAAATTTTTATAAACTCTTTTTGTAGTATCATATAACAAATTTGACAAAAATAAAAAAAAAAAATTTATTATATAATTTTAAGTACACCAAATAATATTACTTCAACCTGTTCAATAAATTACAAATAATAATCTACAAATAAAATAATGAGATCATATTCACCGAGATCATTGACAATAAAGTTGCTCTGATATAAATACAATGCATAATTTTGGTAAGTATACATCGTTTACAACTATTTCTGTACACAACAATTAACAGACAATAAAGAAACAATAGATATATAAACACCTATCAAAACCATATAAACCAAAATAATTAAGTCTGGCAGAAGAAAAATGGTTTTTCCTTCTGTGGCAACTTTTAGACAAACCGTTAAACAGACTCAAGTCCACTGTCGTCGTGCCGACCAGATATTGATGTTGTTGGTGACTCATACCGAGTTATACCACCGATAGTAGTTCGAGACGACTGATAAAATAGCGGACCCGAAGAGGGTGAACTGCCATGGTTTGGTGATGAAGTGATCAGCTCATCCCGGTTGCTCATCCAGGGTGGGATTGGCCGATATTTTTGGTCCCATGGCATTTCGTACCTGAAACAATGTTTTTGGTCATTGCTTCCAACATATCAGCGATCAGATGTCAAAAATTCGAATATGCCTCATCCTCACGTATCTCAAAAAAATAATAATTTCTAGGTTGAAAAAAAGTAGAAGAATTTGACAAATTGTGCACCTGCAGTCTTCACCAAGATGAATCGGATCAATGTGCATCCCAGATGAAGGAAAGCTTCCAACACGACATTTTGTGGGTGAATTTCGTTTTTGCTTGATAAAAGCAATCAAAAGACAAGCAAATGCTGCTGTACTGATTATTGCAATTCCAGCCAAAACAGTAACAGCAACACAAAGCAGTTGTTCGCCACCACCAAAATAGTTCATCACACTTGATGAGTTGCTGATTTCAAATTCCTAAAGACAGCAAATAGAAACCAACTTTTCGTCTCATGTTCATTTAGAAAAAAAAAAAAAAGATAAAAAACGGAAGAGAAAAGTGGAATAATTTAATGCAAAAATGAACACAATCAAATTTTTTTTTTTCCCCCCTCTCGTCTAATGTATATGCAGTCAAAGGACAGTACTGAGATGACGATATGATTCTGATAAGAAGATTTAGTCATAATTTTTTAGATGCTGTAATTTGCGTGCCAACAAATCAGTTTTGAGTGACAACAGCGACAGGATCAGACATACCGGTTGTGCAACATAAGCAAGTTGCTGGTCCTGTTCCTCTTGACACCAAGGACATCGTTGTTCATGTTTTTCTATCGTTAACGATGCATTGAAACACTTTCCTTTTAGTTCAACAACAATTTTACCACCACCTTCCTGTTCCATACTTTCAGTACGATATGCTTGTGTAACCTGAAGAAGGCGCCAATAATAAACTATGAATTTTCTTCCCGTTTTTTTTTTTCCCCATTTGCCACAACTAAAGTATAAACATACAACAAATCTAATTTGCCTATTGCCTTTCAATAATATATATTAGAGGTTTCCATTAAATAAATATATAGTTATTTAGATGCACTGGTTGATCACATCTGTTACGCAACTAAGTAGTTTTAAACCTATTCAATGTGCAAAACGAAATAACAGCTTAAAGACCTATTAGAAGACTATTGATTTGAGACTATTCATGGCACATACATATACCAAAAGAAAAAAAAAAGAATTATTCGCAACTAAATCCAGTAAATTAAACACCTCATATAATTCCTATATAATCAAAAAAAAAAAAAAAAAAA